CATGGCGGGGGCCATTATATCTCCCCAGATTTCATGGCGCCTCTCCGTATTTCAATACGTCCCAGGCCCCCCCCCTGGGTCGCGCACATGCCGCCGGCCATGATTTGCGCCCCATCCCCCCCCCTCTTGAACGCTCCCCTCTCGGCCGCCCCCGAAAAGCACATAGCATGTGCCATCTCTCTTCCCCAGTCCCCGGGTGCTGCAACATGTGACAGCTCGCATCCCAGCGGACCGTGGCGCGTGCCAGCCTTCTCTTTCCGAAGCCCGCGCAGGGCGTTGGAGGGTAGCGTTGGGGGCCGTTCGGGAGCCTCTGGGGGGGACTTGCCGCGGAGCTCTGATTGGTTCTCCCTTTGGGACCTCTTGGGGGCTCGCTGGGCATCCTCGGTGCCCCTCGGCCGACCTCGGGGTCGTCCTCTGAGGTCATCGGGCCGTCCATGGCAGGATCCGTTCGATCCGATTCGACTCCGATTCAATCGAATCTGCGGCCCTGCCGATCCGGCTCAGCTTTCCGATCCGACTTCTTCCGATTCGGCTTGCAGGGGGCAGATTGTAGACGTTTCCTCGGATCCCGGCAAATCGCCGATTCAGCACCGATTCCAAAAAAGTCAACGCGATTCCGATTTCGATCCAGCTTCGCGATTCGATTCTGTCGGATGGGGCTAGGACCCAGGACGCGGATGAATCCGTTCCAGAGCGTTCCGAAACGCTGGCAGAGCGTTCCGGAACGCTCTGAGAAGGCCGCGGCGCCCGAGTCGTCCTCCAGAGCCGCCAGTCCTCAGAGATCCCCGATTTATCCCCACCCGATGTTACTTTATTAGTGACTTTAATTGGTTTTAGGGTTTTAACAAGTGGTCGCAGCCACGCAGAGGGCGTGCGTAGCGACGCCCCAAATGCTCGGTCTCCAGTACTTCTACGTGGCGGCGCCCCCGCAGGCACGCAGAGGGCACGCGTGGCGACGGGGGTGTCGCCACGCAGAGCTGAAGACTTAACATTTTGAAAACCAATTGTTTCCACTACTAAAGTATCCTCGCCCTGGCCTCGTCGTCATGGAGAAGGGTGTCTGGAGGGGTGCGTCCGGCAAATCTCGCGGCGACGTCTCGGCCGCGCGCCTCCCGGGCTGGCCGTCTTGGAGCCGTCTTGGAGCCGTGCTCGGCCGGGCTCGGACCGTCTTGGGCGGAGGGAGGAACGCAAAGGGAGGAGGAGGAGCAACAAAAAAAAGGAGGAGGACGAGGAGGAGGAGGAGGAGGAGGTGGAGGAGCAACAACAAAAAGAGGAGGAGCGCGAGGAGGAGCAGAAGGAGGAGGACAGCGAGCAGGGGGTGACCCTCTTGCCGTTGGGGCACAGTCCAAGAAGGGGAGGGAGGAGGAGGAGGAGGAGGAGGAGGAGCAGGAGGTGTAGGAGGAGAAGGAGGAGCAGGATGAGGAGGAGGAGAAGGAGGAGGAGGAGGAGAACGACGACGACGTCGAGGAGGAGGATTTCATCAACGATGTTGGAATTAATTAACCCTTCCTCCAAGCTCCCTCTTCTTAGGCCCCTACAACGGTTCATTTCCATTGAAGGAACTGCCTCGTTGGAAGACAACCGTTTGAAGATCCTGGAGCATGCCCAAACATTGTTCTCGGGATTTCAACGCCACGTATCAACCTGACTGCTGCGTTCTGGCGATCCAGAATCGTACCATAACGCCATTGTTTTGATTTCTGCATCGCGAATCAACATATGTTGCACCCTGCAAATTTTGAAAGCGAACGTGCGCGGAGCTAAGGCGAGAGCCACATTTTGAAAATGAACCGCCCTCAATCCGCGAAACCTTGCAAATGTTTATTAAGAATGCGCGCGGCGCTAAGGCGAGAGCCACAGTTTGAAAAGGAGCCACCCTCAATCCGTGAAACTCTTGCAAAGTTCGATCAAGAATGTGCCCAACGCTAATGTGAGAGAGAGCCACATGTTGAAAACGACCCGCCCTCAATTTGTGAAGCTCTTCTGGAAATTTTGAAAACGAATGTGCGCGGCGCTGAGGCGAGAGCCACATGTTGAAAACGACCCGCCCTCAAGCCTTGAAATTCTTGTAGATTTTGAAAACGAACGTGCGCGGCGCGAAGGCGAGAGCCACATTTTGAAAACGACCCGCCCTCAATTTGTGAAGCTCTTCTGCAAATTTTGAAAACGAATGTGCGCGGCGCTGAGGCGAGAGCCACATGTTGAAAGCCACCCGCCCTCAATCCGCGAAATTCTTGTGAATTTTGAACAAACATGTGCGCGGCGCTAAGGCGAGAGCCACATTTTGAAAACGACCCGCCCTCAATCCGTAAAATTCTTCCACTTTGTGAGAACAAGTGTGCGCGGCGCTGAGGCGAGAGCCACATTTTGAAAACGACCCGCCCTTAATATGTGAAATTGTTTTCACTTCTTAAGCTTCAGAGTTATCAGTGGTGAGGAAGTCTCAGGCGAATCGCCCGGAACGCCCCAAAAATCGGTCTCGGGGTGCGACAGGGAGGAGTTATCTATAAGTAGAAGGAATGGAGGCGGAGGTGGAGGAGGAAGAAGAGGAAGAGGAGGAGGAGGAGGAGGAGGAGGAGGAGGAGGAGGAGGAGGAGGAGGAGGAGGGAGGAGGAGGAGGAGGAGGAAAAGGAGGAGGAGGAGGCGGAAGAAGAGGAGGAGGGAGGAAGAGGAGGAGGAGGAGGAGGAGGAGGAGGAGGAGGAGAGCCTGGCTTCGCGCAGTCACATGGCCACGTTTGAGGTCGCTCGAGCCCTCTTTGGTGGCCGCTCGGGTTGTGTCTTGCTTGGCCTTTGGGGTGTCCTGCGACCCCCATAGGGCGAAGCACGGTGAATGGCCAAAAGGAATTGAAGGTCTGACTGTGGAATGTTTTTGGCTTCTCGGGGGCCTGGAAATCTCGAAGGACTTGACAACGTTTCGCCAACCGACCGGTGGGGATCGAGCCTGATAAATCCAGGGCTAAATGCAGACACATCGAGGTACATTTGGGTACACAAGTATGGGTAAATCCAGGTCGCTCCGGAGATCTCCAGGGACATCTGGAGCAAATCGCGGCAGCTCCAGCGCGTGCCGAGGGACTTCAGCAGTCGTTAAGCCCTCTACGGGAGGCCTTTGGAGGCTACCTTGGTGCCGCTTCGAGCCTCGGGTGCCTCTTGTGGCCTCCTCCGGCCGCTTGGACCCTGCTAGCCTCTGTTGGAGCGCGTTGCCGCTACATCAGGAGGGAACAGGCACACATCATCGTCGATCTCCAGGGGCATGTGGGACGCGTGGGAAGTGGAGGGGGGGACGAGCATCCAGGAACACCGAAAATGTGGCGGGGGATCCTGGGACCTGTGCCTCTTTCTTGGTGTGCCCCTGGGATCCTTCCTTCCTTGGGGGCGTCCCGCGCCGGCCTGGGGCCCGAGGGCGCGCCAAGGAGCGGTGGCGGAGTACAGTGGAAACCCGTGCCAAGAAACACCCTGCTTGCCTCCCCGGGTGCCCTGGGTCTCTTGGGTTTCGATGGCTTTGCTGTGGAAAGTTTGACGCTCCCACACCAAAAGTCGATGGACATCCTGGGGTCTCGGGGCTGGGTGTCCTGTGGAAGGCTGCTTGTGGTCGGGCTCCTGCTGTGGGGGGGGGGACTGACCACGCGCGAGGCAGGGGTGCAGAGGGCGGGGCCCCGTGGCGCATCGGGGAGACGCAGACATAGCCTTCTGGAGGGCGATCAGACTGTTAGGGCGTCCACTGTCGTGGCATCCGCAAGAGTTTGAGGGGGGGGACCACGCGCAAGGCAGTGGTGCAGAGGTTGGGCCCCGTGGCGCATCGGGGAGACGCAGGCAAAGCCTGAAGTCGGGCGTGTCCCTCTACAGGAGGAATGGTCAAACATGATTTTAAAAAAATGGGGATTATTTTTCGAATATGTGTTGACCATTTGGGGAGTATGGTTTGACTCTTCTTCGTTTTTCATCCAAAATCCCCCTGTAGGAGGACAGGCCCGACTTGAACCTGGCCTTAAGTCGGGCGTGTCCCTCTGCAGGAGGAAGCATTCGAAAGTGGGCAAAACAACAACTCTGGGGACGAGTTTGTTTTTAGTATTTTAGATCATGTTGTGCTTATGTTATGTGTTAAATGTGTTTTGCTATCTTCTGTTTTTTCGTGCAAAACCTGCCTGTAGGAGGACACGCCCGACCTAAACATAGCTTGAGTCGGCGGCGAGCGAGGGGGTAAGTGAGAACGAGAAGGCCTTCTCAGAAGGTTCGGAGGTCGCCTGGCCTTCTGAGAAGCTTTCGAAGCCTCCCCCGAAGATAGAACAAGCTTCTCAGAAGGCGCGAGGGCTTCTGAGAAGTCCCTCCGCCTTCTGAGAAGGCCTTCTCCTTCTCACTGCCCCCCTTCGCTCGCCGCCGATTGAGGCGCGCGGGTTCGCGCCGGGCCCCGTTTCCATGCGGCATCGGCGCGCCGTGCCGCCAGCGGAGGCGGCACAGAAGAACGGGGTCGATAGCGCCGCCATTCGCGCGCAAGCTCCTCGCGTAGGGTCGCGCGCGAGCGCCCTCGTTCCCAGTGCAGCGTGTTGCGGCGGCGCCCCGCTTAAGCCACCGCGTCAGGTCGCTACGCCATCTCGCGCAAAACCCTTTTGGATTCGTCGCTCAAGTGAGGCGGCACTGGCCTCACGGTTCGCCGGATCCGCGGGTCGTTAATCCGTGTTGGCGCGCGCCCGAGAAAGGATACAAGCTTGTCGTTGAAAGTAGGCATTTTTGGATGCCCTAATCCTAATCTACTCTAGGCGCCTTCCCACTTCAAGAGTCAAACAATTGTCCTTCTTTCCTCCTCTTCAGGGGGTGGGTGGAAGCCCAATCTACTTCCAACGCCTTCCTACTTCATGTTTCAACCCACTTCTTCCGACCGGCGTGTACGGGGCACGGCCAGACAGCTCGCGAGCATCACGCGAGCAGCACGCACCCCGACTCCGCGTGCCCAATGGGGGCGCGGTGGCGGATCCGGGCCGAAGTACTTCAAACGCTTCGAGGAGGTCACGACCGCCCGCCTGGCCGAGGGCTTCAACATGTTCAAGTTCGACGGCATGGGCGGCGGGCTGGGGCAGAGCGGCGCGGGCGAGTTCGTAGCGGATTTCGAGGCGACTTGGCATCGCTCGGAAGCGTGCAGTTTTTCGGCGCCACCCCAACACTCTAATACTTACGTGCGTCGCCCCCCCAGGGGCGACGCGGGCACCGAGACATCTTATAGGATACGCGTCGCGGCGGGTGCTCTCTGGCCACGCCGCTCGGGAAACGATGTACTGCAATATGGGTATGCTATATGTTCGCGTCGGACACGCGCGCACGAGACCGAACAAAAATCAAGCAGTGGCGAAGCGTCCTGGCTCGCCTATAGCCCTACCAAACAGTGTTCTAAGGACCTTTTCGCTCTTAGCACGTTTTTGGGTCCTGAGAACCTTTCGTGGCAGGACTAGGGGAATGCCGGGACGGTCGGCCCCTGCTCACGAAAACGCACGGGAAGCGGACGCCCGAGCGACGGCGAGGCGATGCTGCTGCTGATCACCCGGCTCCGGCGGCGCTCCGAGGCCCTGGCGGAGCGGGAGGACGCGGGGCCCGGCGGCCGCGGGGGCAGGAATCGCCGGGGGGGGCGGCCGGGCCCGGAGGTCCAGGCCTCCCAAATGGGTTCTCGGACCGAACGACAGGGAGGGAGGGAAGGGTTTTTCGCGATTTTCGGCCTCGAGGGAGGAGGAGGAGGCGGAGAGGAGGAGAAGGAGGAGGAGGAGGAGGAGAAGCTGGAGGGGGGAAGGAGGTAGAGGATGAGGAGGAGGGGTAGAAGAAGAGCCCAGAGCTCCGACGTGTTGTTCTCCGTAGCCATTTTGGCTCAAGTCCGTAGCGGTGGCTCAGAGGACTTAGAGTTTTTGGCAAGGGGATTTGCGGCCCCATCTCGATCTTCAGTGTTCTTCTGATACTCTTACTGGGGCTTGCCCCACCTCTTTCAACCATCACGTTCGTTTCCAGCTCTCCCTGTACTTGTGTGCGATGGCGCGCAACGCTTCTTCTCTCGGCGCTGACGCTTGGGTATATCACCCGTGGGTTCGGCAGGGGGGAGGCGGCGGCGAAGTGCACCACTCGCCTCAGTCCAAGAGTGCATGTCCGTCTTGCGGCTGCCGCCGCAACCTCCCGCACTTCAAGTGGTGCAAGCATTGCCATTCCGACCTGCCGTTGGTTCAAGGCGCCCCTGTCCAGCCTGCCTCTGGTGCATGGGCGCGAGGTTTCGGATCTGCTGAAGAAGAGGTCGAGGCACTTGTTCGCATGGACGGCAAGGGCAAGGCAGGGCGCAAGGGCCTTGGCAAGAAGGGCAAGGGCAAGGGCTCCGAGCTTGCAGCTGCAGGCAGGAGTGCTCGTGCGGCGGCTCTTCCCGACGTTCCACACGGAGCTCTGCCGCCTGGTCCTGTGCCCCGCCTGTCCGCCACCGAAGCCAAGCAGCTCGCCGATCTGCACTCTAAAGCAGGGGAGGAGCAGCTGGCTGCGAAGTATCGTGCCATCGCCGTCTCGCTCGACAAGTCGGAGCGCGCCCCTGCGCCATCCCTCCAGCAGCAGGTTCAGTCCGCCCACGCTGCTGTCCGCCGCAAAGAGAGAGCACTTCAGGTCGAGTTCGCGAAGCTCAACCGCTGGAGGGCCGAGCTGGAGGAGCAGCGCAAGAAAGTGGCTGAGCTGCATTCTGAGTTGGGCGAGGCCGATGCTGCATACAAGAAGGTCGTTTTGGAGCTACAGCAGCAGGTGCCTTCTGAGCCTGCACCCGCTGCGGCGGCCCAGGTCACTCTCGAGCAGCTGGTGGACGGCACTGTCTCCATTGATCAGATCATCTCGACTGACGTGCTCGAAGTTGCCGACGACGCCTACGACCTTGAGGAGAAAGACCGTAAGGAGATCCAGCAGCGCAAGGACGAGCTGTCCGAGAAAGTTCGTGAGGCAGCCAAGTCATTGTTCCTGGACGCGTTATCAAAAATCAAGGAGGCCAAGGAGCAGCACGCCAAGCACCTCGAGAGGCTTGGCAAGAAGCGCAAGACTGGTGCTGGCAATGTCTCAGATGCCGCTACTCTGGGAGGCGAGGCAGCTGCTGCAGGAGAAGGGTCGGGCCAGTCTACGGGGGCAGGGTCTTCGAGTGCGTCCTCGTCGGTGTCACAGCCTGAGCCTGACATTCGCTCCATGGTTGCAGGCGAGCTTTCCAATCTTCCCCCCCTCCCTGAGAAGGGAGGGGGAAAATGATTCTACTCATGTGCGTGAATGTTTGCCGCTGCTGAACCGCAGCTTCGCTGAGCTTGACAGTTTTCTCTTGGAGATTCACGCTTGGATGTCTGTTCCCAGCGAAGTCCCCAGGAGCTTTTGCACGCCTGCCACCAGCAGGAGGCTGAAAAGGGAGTTTTGCTCATTTCTGTCTGCCAGTCCGTTCGTTGCTCAGCCCATTGCACTTTGGCCAGCAGGCAAGTCAGGCTGCTCCTCTCCCCCTCATTTGGCCAGGGCCCAGGACCCAGGTGAGGACCAAAGGGGCGTCGTCAGGGTGGCCTTGGAGGTGTGGTCTGTGAATTGCAATAAGTGGGGTACGATGAAAGACTTCTTGGAGGATCCTGAATGTTCGGCTCACATCATTCTATGCCAAGAGCACCGCCTCAGGGACCCAGAGTCGATTGACCGTGCCTCAGCCTCTGCGATGCGTGCGGGCTGGAAGTCCATCTGGCTTGCTGCAGAGCCAGGCCCGCAAGGTGGAGACAGTGCAGGTGTGGCTATTTTTGCCAGGTCTTGGCTTGGGCTCCACTCTGTGCCCTCCCCAGCCATTGCTAGGGGCCGCTGCCTAGCCTGCAAGCGTCACGCACCAGACAGCCCAGCGCTACTGCTGGCATCTCTTTACCTTCACCACTCCGTGGGGCTCGGCGCCTCCAACGGGGGCATCCTCGGCGACCTGGGGGAGTTCGTGAGCAGTCAGTCGGAGGATTACATCATAGGTGGGGACTTTAACTTCGGGCCAGACCTGTTAGAAGGCATGGGATTCGCTAAAGCTGTGGGGGGTCTTCTCATCACCACCCCCGACAACACCCACTATCCTTCCCTGGGCGACCCGTCCAAGTTTGACTACTTCGCGGTCTCGCCCCCCCTGGCCAAGGGCCTCAGGGAGGCCAAAGTCCGACTCGACACGACGCTCAACCCCCACAGGCCCGTGTCGCTCACTTTTCACCCCCGTCTGCTTCAATTGAAGGCTCTCGCCTTTCGCAAGCCGCCGCCCTTACCTGTGGACCCCCCGTTCGGCCCCAGGCCGCAGGAGTGCAGCACTGATTGGGATATGGTTCTTGACCTGGTCAATGCTGCCGTCGACAGGGTGTCCCTTGGGGGCGGTGACGGGGCTGCTGCCCTGCTCACTGAAGGATACGGTCTCTGGGCGAATAGAGCCGAACTTGACCTCGCGCGGGTCCTGGGAGCCGACCTCCCTGTCTACGGGTCCCGCGGCAAAACCATCGAGACCTTTTGGAAGCCCATCTGCCAGGCCTGTGCTCCGTCCAAGGATCCCGTTGCTCGCGGTCTGAAGTGGTTGGAGACCCAGCTCAAGGCCTTGAGATCTGAGGTTTTAGCCCACAACGTTCCACTGCGGTGCACCAAGGCCTTGTGCTCTACGCCGCCGTGCGCTGGCACGGCTCGAGCCTGTCGTGCTGTTCTATTTCAACGTGCCACCAGCTTAGCAGCCTCCTGCGCTGATCGACTGGCTGGTCGCAGGCACACGGCTGTGCGCTCGGCTCCGCTCGGAGCGCATCCTCCTCCCCCCGTTTTGCTCGTCGCGCTCGATAATCAGTGTCAGGATAAGGCGGATCGGGCCGTGCGGCCCCCGCCCACTTTCTCGGATTTCGTGGCTGATGTTGATCAGCTGCTCGCTTCTCTCGCGCCGTGCCTTGAGGGGGCCTCTAAGGACTTTGCCAAGGCTAACAAGCGCCGCTGGCGAGAATGGCTCCAGGAAGGTTTGGGCCAAGGGGGCAGGCGGGCCCATCATGTTCTCAGAGACCCAACTCCCTGGGTTCCCTCGGTCACCATTGCGGAGAACGGTCAAATCGTGGCGGACCCCAGGGCCCTCCTGTCGGCTGAGGGTAGGCGCTTTCAGACTTGGTGGGGGGAGGGGAGCGGGCCCCCTGTGGGCCCTGTTCGTTTGGTTTCCCCTCTCCCCCGTCTCTCCCCCGATGAGATCCGCCAGGTCTGCAGGACTTACCGTAAACAGAGTGCGGTTTCGGTTGACGGTTTCCACCTGCGCCACTATTCGGTTTTGTGTGACGCCGCCCTCATTGCTCTCTCGGGGCTCCTTTACGTCATCGAAGCCACGGGGAGGCTGCCTGATCAGTTAATGGTTGTGCTCTTGGCCCTCTTGCCCAAACCCGTCGGGGGCTTCAGGCCCATCGGGGTTTTTGTTGCGTGGCATCGGCTTTGGGGCCGAGCCAGGCGGCCCTTCGCTCTGGATTGGGAAAAGAAGTTTGCGAGGCCCTATTGGGCTGCTGGCGCCAATCGGGGCGCTACGGATGTTGTCTGGAGGCAGAGTTTCAAAGCCGAAGCGGGAGTTTCCAAGGGCCTCACTTCAGGGTCAGTCTTTTATGACCTTCAGAAGTACTACGAGAGCATCTCCCTCGATTTCCTCGAGAATCAATGCCAATGCCTCGACTTCCCCGTTGTTATCACCAGGGTAGCCATGGCGGCCTATCGATCGTGCAGGTTTCTCAGCCTTGGGGGCATCATCGAGGGTCCGTACTGGGTCAGTCGTGGGGTTGTGGCTGGGTGTTCGATGGCCACGTCGTTCATCCGAGCGTTCGCCCTTAAGTCCTTCGATAAGCTGTGCAATGTTCTGGCTATTGGCACTGATTTCGACGCCTACATAGACGACACGTGCCTCTCGCACACGGGCACGGTTCCCGAAGTCGTTGAGGCATTAGTTTCTTCCTCGGTCAGTTTACACAAGGCTGTCACCCAAGATCTTGGTTGTGTGCTGGCGCTCGACAAAGTGGGATGTGTGTGCAGCCACAAGTCGATAGCTATACAGCTCGAGGAGCGACTGGGAGAGTTGTGCGGCAAGCCCTCGGCCTCAGTGGTTAACTTGGGTACTGACTACACGGCAGGCAGGTCCTTACGCACCACTACCCCAGGCTCTAAAAAGGGTAAATCAGCCAAGCTTAAGGCTCGTCAGGCCAAGCTTCTCCGTCAATGCAGGCGCCTTGACAAGCATAAAAGCAACCTGGGCAGGTCCGCTGTCAAGATTTTTGCGTCGGGCCCGCTTGCGGGCGTCACCTTTGGGGCTGAAATTTGGGGAGTCTCGGACCGCGAACTCCACTCGCTCAGGAGTAAAGGCATGGCCACCATCTCTCCCAAGTCCCAGCACCGTTCCCTCACCACCCTCTCGCTCCTTGAAGGGGACCCCCCTTGGAGAGCGAGTGTGGCCCCCATCATTCGTTGGTGCAAGGAGCTGTGGCTTGTGCAGACCAAGGCTTTTGATGGGGCCCTCTCGTTTGCTTCGTTGCGTTCCGCCTGGGAAGTCATCTTCGGCAGTGATGATTGGTCCTGGGCCAAGGTTAGGGGTCCTGTCTCGGCCCTCAGGATGTCCTTATA